AGCATTATATCTTAACAGTATTTACTGTTTTACAGCATGAACTTTGTACTCTCAGTTTAAATGCAATCTAGATGGACACAGAGGACTGCCCTTAAAAAAGCATCACTCATATTCTTCATCAAAACAACTCTTTTGGCAGCCGACTCATGGGAATCCAGGGCAATATAACAGAAAATAGTCAACATCTCATACTGTCGCTGTCCTTCTGCAATGCTTTTTTTTTTGGGTTTGTTTTTCATTTTTCTTCTTTAATGACGAATACTCGAACCTCAGGTGTGTAGTACCTCGATCTGTGTGGCTTTGTTGTCTTGTCAGTGTCATGACTTTGAAGTCATATTTTACGTTGCACAATGCTCATTTCCTTTCTTTTTTTAATATTTATTTATATATTTGCCCATGGCAGTCCAATATCATTATTTTCCCTGTGAATGAAAAAGAGTGAAATGACGGTGATAAAAGAAGAAAAAGAAAGAAATCCTGCCTGTGCCAACTTTTCCACCAATTCTTGACTCGTCTGAAACCTCAGTTACTCTTTCAATTATTCTAAACTAGAAAGATCTCTCCAAAGAGGTGACAACACTGACAAAGCTAGTGTAACATCTATCAGCTTGGAAATAATTTGGTGTCAGTCACTTTTTATTTGTTGCAAATCGAGGATAGGGGTGGCAGAATTGATTCACAGTGACACATTTTTTGGGGGGGAAACACAAAGAGAGGAAATGAGAAAAGGTTGTAATTTACCAAGCAGCGATCCCTTTATTCTGTACCTCAACTTAATTGGAGTAGCCCAGCTAGCGCCTTACATAGCCCATCAGATTGTTAGCAATGACAACAGGGGCTTACCATGTTGTTGTTTCAGAAATCTAAAAGTATTTGTGTGTTGTGCCTGAAATCAATATCACATCTTTGTTTGAATATAACAAAATGGCAGCCGGTGTGCGCAGGAACTCGTCCTTTTTGGGTCCGACTGACGGGAATCCAGAGCGTGCGGCATTGCAGCAGATTTGCTAACAGCAAGCTCCCAATTTTATTTGATGTAATCCTGTCCCAGTTCATTGTGGGGATCTGAAGCTAGAGCGGAGACGGAGCCGGAGAGCTTATCTATGTGGCTGTGTGCTGCAAGCTCAGTTGGCACTAGAATATGCGGTGTGATATTTAGGGCTGGCCACTGAGTCGTACCGCGCTAGAGATCACTCCTGCCACTCTCCAAATCAAACTACAGACATAAACGTGCACGCACGCTAGCACTGCAGGCACCAGGTGTGACCTCACAAGTGCACACACACATATAAGCACACACACACACACCATACAGTATATTCCTCACTCTGTTTCATTCTCTGTTCATGGCTGTCCAACTCTGACTGCTGCTAATGCTGCTACTGCTGTGTTAACAGCAGATAAATGGCACCGCTCATAGTCTAGATTACATTAGATCTCCAATCAAGAGGTAATGGGTGTTGTCATGGCAACCACATCCAACAGGCAGGGGAGTACGGGGGGGAGGAAGGTTGAAGACTGTCAAGACTCGAAATACCCTTAAAAACACGTTACACACAAATGCATCATGCACTGTATTTTTGTCTCTACTTTCCAATTTAAATTTAGAAGAATTTAACTAACCTTAATGGGCTTTTCTTTGAACCCCTTTCATATATGTAAGGAGTACAATTTAAAACACAATTCCTGTTTATTTTCACTTGAGTATAAGTACTGAAACAAGACTTTACTTATAACAATTATTTCAGCAGTATCTTAAACTGGCCCCATTTTTTCTCAAAAACCTGAAGCCTTGTCTATATTCTCCATAAATGTGATATAAATGTATAAACAGTCAAATGGATCTCAGTTGGTCTCTACATTTTACTCACTGGTCATGTACAGACCACACAAACATGCTCACATCTGCACTGATTCTTGTATCTGGGGCAAGCTGTTAAAGCATGAAGTGTTGAGTCTCATTTCTTTTCATACTTTTTAATTCTTTTGACAAACTTCCACCCCTCTGGATACACTTCACTGACAAACAAAACACATCTGAATACCTCCTTTCAGGAGGAGCTTCTCCTCTTCGCTCTAACCCTCACAGATTGACTCCAGGACAAAGAGCCAGCTCACATTGAACTGACAGCATAAAAAAGGCTTGATCATTTTTGCCCCAGAAGATACTCCTAAATTGTATTGGATTGCTTTGTCTCAGATGACCTGATGTAATGTGACAGGAAAGTGTGGCATTTGTGTTGAAACAAGAAATGTGTTTGTAATACAAATGAGATGTCTTTCTGTCTCTTTCCGGACGTCTGACGTGATTTGAAAGAAAATAAAGTCAGCATGAAGCAGTTACTTGAGGATTAGTTTCCTCTGTTGCGTCATTCCATTATATTCATGCCCATCCCTATGACTGACTTTACATCTGGAATTAACACATGCATCTGAGTACATTATCTGGGTAATGACTAGGGATGAGTGAGTACACAGTAGACTTTTTTCACAGCAGCCATTTTGACATTAAATAGTAGGGTAAATACAAGTGTTACCAATGATACTAATTAAGGTTCCATTCCATTCAGGTCAAATAGAGTCAGGTTGCTGCTATTGGTGAGAAATATACATAAATACCGTACGGTATGAGTGATGAATTGACCATGTCTGGAGCTTTTAGGCTGAAAAAGTATCATTTCAAATTAGTTTGAGTTAGTGGCCTTGTGCTTTCCCAGCTATTATTCTTCCCTTTTTTCCGTTTCTTTCCTTCTTTTATGGTCAAAACAGCAAATGCTTTGAGTCAGACAGCTCCATGTTTTTGTATAATTTTGAAAGGATTTTTTTCTATTGAAGCAATCTACAAAAAACAACTTCATTTACAATGCTGCAGCTGCTGCACACTATTTCTTTGATAAACACTATTTATTTTCAGACCATTAGCAACCTTGACATTCACTTTGCTGTCTTCACCAGGCAAACAGTGGTGGCTCTTTAAAAAAAAGGGGAGCAACTGCTTATGTCTCTTTGTAAAATACAGGGGCTGAGATTTCCAGTTCTGTCACTGACATCTGACTTGTCAAACAAAACTCCATTGCAGCCCTGAATTTTTAATTTATTTTTTTGATTTTTTTCCACCTGCAAGCGACAACAATGCACTTACATCTTTTGCTTTTCATCTTAACCCCTCCCACACACTTGCAGTTCTCTTGTTGTCTTCCTCTGTCGCAGTTAAAATATCACCCTCAGGTCTCACCTTTCAAATGTTGAGAAAATGCTCACAACCTTGACAGAAGCTCTAAACATTTTGCACCCTCCTTTAAATATGAGGCTTTGTGTGAGAGAGAAATCTTGGAGGCTGCCGTCACAGAGCCGGAGGGGAAACATGCAAACCTTGATTAACTTGTGTACTGCTGTTTTTTTCTCCCTGGGAAAGCACTAACTCTGCTGGCTCACTGTAGATTTCTATACATAGCATCTCATATGCTTTGTTTTATTTGTTTTTGTATTTTAAGAATTACTGTCACAGAAATTCATGAGAGAAGACTTTGTGAAATGAAAAAGGGGAAGGTGAGAATGAATATGGCAACATTATTGAATATAACCATGATTGAAATCTTATCTGGTCCAATGTCATGAGAAAGTTTACAGTGTTTCTAATATACTGGCAGATAGATAATGGAATAGGATTTGAAAGGGGTTTCAAATGCAGTCCAGTGTACCACAGTCATTCACAGTCACTGTGATAGAATGCTATTGGTGAGAAAATACTGTATCCAATATGTTCACTCAGGCAACAGAGAGCATAAAATAAACCTTTATTCATTGAAGAGTGAACACAATGTCCACAGAGCTGCTAAGCTGTCCAGATAAAGAGGCATTATGTGTGTTTGAGCCTGCCAATGCAAGCTCTCGTGCATGCTTTTCGACTGTGTCTGTGTATGTGCTTGTGTTTGTGTATGTATGTATGTAGTGTTCTTGTAAAGAAAATGAGCAAATGGAGCATGAGCTGAATTTTTAGGACAGAGATTAAATGGAAATTACATTCCTCCAATATGATCTGGAAGTAGCTGAAATATGGTGTGTTCTATCATATAAAACATTAGCGGCTTCAGACAATTTAAACTGGCAATTAACAGTCAATTCAAGCAATTTTGTTTAGGTTGAAAACTGAAACTTCCCTCGCAGAATATAAATTGTTAACAAGTTGGAAATAAACCCGGAATTGAAGGGATATGTAACTGACTTTCCACAAAGCTCCTCAGGGTTTCTCTCTACAATATTCCATGTTCCTAGTTGTGCCTTATGGATGTATTATTTACATAAGTTTGTGCATATTAATATACTGACTTTTAGACCCCAGTGTGGGTCCCTTACCAAAAAAAACTGAAACCTAAAATTCTCATAAATCGACTGGTCGTGTTTTTTGTTAGACCCTTTATTCCTGGTAAATGTGATTACAATCATATCATAATACAGACTTTCTGTCATAAACTGAAACCATGACTACCAGTGGTGGAAGGAGTATTCAGATCCTTTACTTTTGAAAAAGTTCTAATACCACACTGTGAAAATACTCCACTGCAAGTAAGATTCCTGCATTCAAAACCTTATTTAAGTAACATGAAATATCAATAGTAAAAGTACTCATATTGCAGTAAAATGGTCCCTGTTTTGCATTAGTATTACGAAGAAGATATATACTTTATTAATCCCCTTTTCATTAATTAATTCATTTAATTCATAAATTCCCTCTTTTCACTCTTTTTTATTCTTACACACACACAGGCTGAAATACACACTTCATGCACTTGTGGACATGCAACAGGGAGAGAGATGGTGGAGTGATGGGCTCGCCACATTAGCGGCGCCCATGAGCAGTTTCTTGGGGTTAGGCTGCCTTGCTCAAGGGCACCTCGGCAGTGCACAGGAGGTGGAACCGGCGACCCTGCGGTTCCCAAGACAAGTCCCTACACACTGAGCTACTGCCACCATTACTACTATTAAGTATTAACTACTACTACTAAACCTAGGGCTGGGCAATATGATTGAAATCATTATCATGAGAATATTACAAATAATTTTAGATATTGAAATGTACCACAATATGGTAAATGTATGCAAAAATCACTCATCCAATAATCATAATGATGTTCAGAACAATAAAATATGTTTTGATATACATTATGTAAATATATATGAACTGTTTCTGTTATTAAGACGACTGCAACTTCTGCCTGTATTTCTGGTGATTTTCTGTAAAATTACATAGTCATTAACAAATAAGAAAAAATCGAATTTAAAGTTAGAAAAAAAACATTTGTATGTAGTATATCAGGTCTGTGTGGGTTTGGTTTGATCAGATTTGACTGACATACAATCCACCAACAGACATCACAGTTTGACTGTAAGATCACAAAATCCCGATCGGAACAAAACGGTTAGAGCCAAATCAGTATTCCTAACTAAATTGAAAGGTAGGTTGTAAAATGAATAAAATATACATACAGACTTGTGGGCTTAGTCATGATGAAGCTGCTCTCTCATTTTGGCTGCAATCTGCTCTCTTTTCTCGCAGTGTTTGTTCAGGTCTTTAACCTCCATCGGCAGCGTGCTGTTCCACACCATCAGCACCGACTCCTCGTCTGAGAGCAGAAACAAACTCACACTTCAGACCTAAGTAGAGAAACTCACATAGCAAGACAACTGTTTTCATAAAGTGTGGGACAAACAATGAACCATCAGACTCACCTGACTGATTTTTGTCCAGCGGGAGTCTTCTGCCCAAAACCAGCACCACGTTCTTCCAGTTTAGTGATTCTATTCATTAAAAAATGATCAGTAATTACTCAACAAGACACAGATAGTTAACAGTAAGGCTAGTTTAGACGGAGCAGTTCAACAAAAAAATGTATAACAAGAAAGAACGGGGGGAAGGAAGACATATTGATGTAGAAAAAGAATGAATGATTCAATATGCAGGCAAACTGTGAGCAGCCTTCTGGGTTGTTTCACACATTTCTTCACACAACTGCCCAGACAGACGATGAATCACTATGAAACGAGCAAAGATATACCCAGCTGTAGTATCATGTGTCTTCTTTTACTGATTCTGCTTCCTTCCTTTTTGTTTTCATACATCCCCCTACTCACTAAGCGTTTGCGCTGCTGCACTATGTAGGCGTTTAATTAACTCTGGGCTCAAATGTTTGAAGAGAAGAAACAAGTGAGTGTGTGCAAGAAACTTCTGTTCCGCAGAGTGGAGGTTATCAAGGGGCACCTGAGCTGTGATGATCACCATCTTATATAAACTGTTATGCTAATTAGCTCAATCTTAAGGGTAAGGATTGTATCTATTAGCAAAATGCTTCCATATTAATGTGTTATATAACAGGTGTCAGTGTGAACTCCTTACCCCAAGAGGGTGCTGCTATAGTTTCAACAAATACTTTTTTCCTTTTTAATATGCAAATTAAGGCAACATGGTGCTCCAAATTCCAATGAGATCATATAGCATATATGGGCTGCCTGTGGTGTAATTACACAATGAAGTTTCTGGCACAATAAATGTACGGCAGTTTGTGTTATCACGCCAAGAATGTATCCAGAAACAGACACTACGACAACATACTGGCTGCACACGTGGTACCATGCTGCCACGACATCAAAATAAAACCAATTAAACGAATAAATAAATACAAGTCAAGCACCCACCTATGAGTGCAGAGCCAATGCTGCGGATGGAATTGCAGCGCGGGCCAATGACCTGCAGCGGCTGGTGTTTGGAGAGCTCCAGCAGCAGCAGGTGGCCCCCTCTGGTGCCGATCCAGAGAGTTGCAGCACTCTGCACCAGCAGGGCTTTCACTCTGGCCCAGGAGGGCGCCACCTCAGTGGGCAGCTCCACTTCGCTGCCCTGCCTCCCTCTGCAGCCAGAGTCGTGTCTGCAGGGAGAGGAGTCATTAACATACAGCTGCAGTCTCATAAAAAAAAAAAACACCTGAATCTCCAACATGTTGGATTCTGGTAGGCTCAAATCAAAGGCACAAAAGTATGTTGCTAGGCACCAAGATCCTTCTTTTTAAGTCTTCACTGATGTGTGCATGTTGTTTCTGCACTATTCAAATCACGTATTAGACATAACAGCGTGTGGATAAGATATTTTACTTAAATAAAATCATACATCAGCAAAAAATTACTCACTGCATTCGAAATCTTACTTAAGTATAAGTATTATCAGCAACATGTATTTAAAGTATCAAAAGTAAAAATGATTCATTAGGCTCCTGCAAGTGTGACATTTTATTATTGGATTATTATTACAAAAGCAGCTTTTTGTGTTGTAGCTTGTCAAAATTAAGCTAATTTTTACCTACTTTTGAGAATGTTTGCTAATTCAATATATACCAATCTATAATTAATGTTGCACCATATTTTATACAATTATATATGTGGGCGTGTGTGTGTGTGTG